TTTGCCTAGCAGATGATAGCTTATATCTGTTATCACCAAGAAGTCATATGCTGTTACAAGCTACTGTGAAATGAGCAGTGGCATTATTCTTCTAAGCACATCTCCTTATCAATAATATAAATTGCAATTATTGGTTAAACAAGTTTGTCCCATTTCAGCTGATTACAAGTAAACACCTTTGTTTTAAACTCACAATGATGGTTAATTTTCTTGGGTATATCAAGTTTGTCCCACTTCAGCTGATTGCAGCAAACACCTTTGTTTAAACTCACAATGATGGTTAAGTTTCTTGGGTATATCAGTGTTAATTGAGCCAAAAATCCACATTTCAACTGCATATAAAAGTATAATCACCATTGGGGTATCTGAAAACATGAATCATTGAAAACTAAGTAATTCTGTTTGTCAGGAGCTGTGCTTATTATATGAGAACCATACTGTTAGGTGTCCTTTTTAAAAAACATGACATACCAAATTGCTGAAAACTGGTGTTTACCACCGTAGCATTTCATTCTTACTTGTCATGTTAAATCTTGTCACTTTTTGTTATGTTGTTTCTCATCATATCGCAGTTGGATGTGACACATTCAGTTACATGACATGACTCATTGCAACCTGAGAAATCATAGATTTGTTGGGAAGAAATGTTACTATAGAGGATGAAGCTTTTCAAAAGTCTGCTTGATAGAAATGTTACTGACATTGCTTTTTTTCTCTTATAAATGAGTATTCTTTTACATATCTTACACTTCATTCTGATCTCCTACTCTTGCCTTTTTATTATCAGAAGCTATTTGTGGTTTGTAGCTTTAAAAAAATCTACATAGAGAACAGACTTAGTTATACTTTAAAATGTTAAATGCATATAAAATGAACATCTTCTCTTGACTACATTTTCATGTATCATGTAATACCCATACCTTCCTATCATGTATCCAGGTTGACCTATTTTACAGAATACGATCTTGGGAGCAAAAGTTAGGAATAGTTGAATTCTTAATAGAAAGTTTTTTGAAATTATTGTTAAAGCTATTTCTGGACTAAGTTGTATGTACACTTGCAAAAGCCAAAAATGAGGTTTTAGCAATTAAGTTGACAGATCACATTTACAGAATCAGAGAACAGTTGATTTTGGAAGGGATCTCTGGAGGTCATCTGGTCTAACTGCCTTGCTCGAGAAGGGACGACAAGAGCAGGATGCCCAGGACCATGCCCAAAATGCTTTTTTTCTTTTTTTTTTTTTTTTTTTTTTTTGTTATTGTTGGCTGGTTGGTTGGTTGGTTTTTTATTTGCTTTTTTGGGGTTTGGTTTTTTTTTTTTTGGTTGTTTGGTTTTTTTGGTTTTTTTTTTTTTGGTGGTGTTGTTTTGACCATGTTCAGGAATGTTGATTCCACAATGTCCATGGGCAACCTGTCCCATTGTTCAGTCACCCCCACAGTAAAAAAACAAACAAGCAAACATGTACTGTTGTGCTCATATGGAACATCCTGTGTATCCGTTTGTGCCCACTTTCCTTTCACCAGCCACTACTGAAGAGAGCCTGGATCTGTCTTCTTTGAAGCCTCCCTTCAGGTATTTAAATACATTGATAAGATCCCCCCCAAGCTATCCCTTCTTCAGGCTAAAGAGTCTCATCTTGCTCAACCTCTCCTCTTAGAAGCTATGCTCCAGTGCCTTAACCATCTTAGTGGCCCTGAACTGATGTCTCTCTAGTGGCTTCAGGTCTCCGCTGTACTGAGTAGCCCAGAAATTGATACAATAGCTCAGAGAAGGCCTTAACAATGTTGAATTAAGGGAAAGAATTACCTGCCTCAACCTGGTGACATCATTTGTCCTCATGCAGTCCACGATACCATCTTTGCCTAAAGGGTGCATGCTGCCTCCCATTCAGTGTTTTGTTCACTGGTCCTGGATGTTGTTTTCCACAAAGCTGCTTTTCAGTTAGTTGGTCCCCAGCATAATACTGGTGCATGGGGTTGTTCCTCACTGCATTTCCCTTTGTTGAACTGCACAAGGTCAGTGACTTCTTATCAGCCCACTTCTCCAGCCTGTGAAAGTCCCTCTGAATAGCAGCACACCTCCGGTGTATCAGCCATTCTTCCCAATTCTGTATCATCAGCACACTTTCTGAGGGTAGACTCTACCCCATCATCCAGCTTATTGATAAAGACACTGAAAAGAATCATGCCTAGCATAGATCCATGAGGTACACCATTAGATACTGGCCTCACACAAGATGTCATGTGAAAAAAACTCTGAACTCATTCAGCCCGCTTTTAATCCACTTCACTGTCTGCTTATCCAGCCTATACTTCTTCAGTGTCTCTACAAGAATCTTGAGGGAGATAGTGCTAAAAGTATTACTGAAGTCTATGTAAAACGTTTATTGCTCTCACCTCACCTACCATGCTAGTCATATGTAATGTCTTGAGTCCATGGAACTTGAAAGTTGAAAAAATCAAAAGTGATAGGATGCCACTTTTTTCTCATCAGTAGGGGCCTATATGATGTCACTAGAGTTTCTCCTGTAAAGCAAACTGTATGAATTTTCCTCTGATCCAAGCTAGTAATGTAGAAGGCAACTCTTGTTTCAAAAACATAAGGTCTTGGTCCAAACCAGAACTTCTGAAGTTTTACTGTCACCAGCATACCACTGGCAGAAAAGTCATGGTGAGGCTGTGTTGAGCCCGCAGAAGTATGCTAGCATCTGAATCTTTTCATGGATTTTGAAAGAGCTCCCTACTATTAATCCCCCAACACCATACTCAAAACACATTCTTAAAAACCTGAACTAGAACTGAAACACCAAAAGTTTTCACTAAAATTATTAAATAAATTTTTACTTGCATTTCATCCATCAAGAATATTGTAGAGAAAATTTCCTTCTGGTTTCCATGGGAACAATTTTGTAAATGTATAGGGATTCAAAATGAAACATGGTTGGTGAAAAACTTGTGAAAATAAAGTGCGTTTCAGTTTTTCTTCCTTGATAAATGCATGGAGAATTAAAACCTTTGACAAGAAAGGAGTGATAGCATATGATTTTCTAGACATATGGGAAACGTGTGCAAACTCAAGAGGCATGAATTATTCCTCTTGAACAAAAAAAAGCTTAGCAGATGTTAGTGTGCAAGGACCGTGTAAACATTCTGGGGGTTTAAAGAAGGGTAATTTTAAAAATTCATCAATAGGAATAAAGACACATAAAACTGCAAACCAAATATTTTTATAAAATTCACAGGTAATAAGTAATTCATTAGTTACTTTTCTCTGGTTTGTTTGTACATAAGTCAGTAATTTCCCATGAAAAGTATTGGTCAGTAGGAATATGGGATATACTCTAAAAAGTGTTGTCATTCTTGATCATTACAACTTACAGAGATTTTACGGTTTTAAATACGTTAATCTGAGGATCAGACCCAGCTGTTCAGGGGACAGGACAGGCTGTCAGCTGTAATTGCATCACATGACCAGCAGCACATATGCCCCATTGAGCATTGTTGGTGGAGAAATGGAAAATTAACCCTTCCAGCACAACCCTACTTGCCATCCATGAAACTTGGCTAAAATTTGCCTAAGTAGTGAAGTAACTAGGAGGAATTTTGCTCAAAGGGAATGATATGTACATGATAGTTTAGACAATACAAGAGGAAGTAAAGATGCCATCAATCTAAATCGAGATAAAAATCAAATATTGTTTGTGAAATATACATTTTCAGCTATATTTAAAATGTTTCAGTTCCTCTTTTTAGGTACAATTTCTAAGGAAATATTCTGTCAAATAGAATATTTTCCAGAACTTTTTAGTTTGTCTAATTATCTTCCTGATCTACTGACTGCTCTTTCAATCATTCAATTTACAGCCTTCATCAGAGGTTGGAAACTGATAGAGGATGCAGGTTTTGCAGTATCATTATGGCCATTTCACTGGGGCACATTCTTCACCTGTTAAATGCTTAAGAGGTTTTGTGCTTTCTCTGGATATGTTATATATTGAAAGAAACTTGCCTCTGAAATAATGACAATACTGTATAATACCTCAAAAATATGAGATCTTTGTCAATTCAAGTGATAAGGGAACTGAATACATGCATTCATAATGATGAAAGAATGAGAAAAAAGCAATTAACTGTCAGTTTAGAGGTTTTCAATAAAAAAACCCTTTTCACAAGCAGATATTATAGACAGCCACTAAAATGGCCCTAAAATTGAAATATATTATGTGTATAAAAAACAGCATCCTTCTAAATACAATATGAAAATTCACACTAGTATATCAGTATTAGATTGAGTGACATGCATCACCATAAGGCTCCCTAAGGTTAAATTGGACTCCTGCACTGAAATTCTAATTAGAAATATGAGTGCTCCAACTCTGTGTAAGTGCATGTCTGTTTAATTATTTTTGCTTTTTCCTTGGATCTTCATACTCCTTTTCTTTCCCCTTTCTTGCTGTTTTCAAGCAACCCAATCTCCTCACTTAATCTAAGTGTAGAACCTTCCTATAAGTTGGCATTAATTGATAAGCAGTGTTTAATTATTATTTTTCATGTCTGAAGAGACCAGGTAATAGCTCCCCGAAGGCTCTAGACAACATTTCAGCCCTTTGACACACGTGGCACAGCTCTGCCATCTTCTGACATATCTTTCTCTTGTCAGGAATACAGTAATTTTCTTTAGGGTAATACCAATAATATTTTGTCTATATTTTGTTTTTAGGAACTTCCCACCTATTAAATACTTGAAAAACATTTTAATGGAGAATAGATACAGTGAGTCTCCACATAAGAGATATGTTTAACTGAGTAGGACAGTTGGTTTCTCTATCACACTAAATGACTCTTAAGAAGTCATTTAGTCACTTAAGAAATCTTTCACAAATATTAGTGCAATATCTGAATTACCGCAAGAATATTATGTTATTTCCTACTATCACATCTCACTCTTAAGAGAGTACGTAAATTTCTTAAATTATTTATGTCTGGCATTAATTTGTTTAATCTTATTAAAGAAATGTAATTAAATAATCCAGTATTGTGTAGAATAATTTCAGTGTAAATCCACTGTCCATAATAAAGTAATTTTCATTCTACATTGTGTGAATCTTGGTGGTGATGATGCAGGGTATAAACATTATTTTGATAAATTAAAATTCCTTTTAAGTACTGCCTTAAATTTAACATTTTCATCTGATATAATAAATGTTATTAATTTGAAATCAGTTTAATTATCCCAATATTCTTAACGAAATTCCAGCACACACAAAATTTTTCAAATACTTCTCAGCAGATATAATTTTATTAATGAAAATTAAATCATCATTGTGAGGCATTTGGGCTTAGAATTAAATATTAAAAATCAGATTAGTCTTTGTATTAGTATTGAGATTTACACTAATGTTCATTGAAAATATATTGAAGTTCAAATATAATGAAGTGGAATGTATAGAAATATTAATATGCGTTCCGGAGTAACTAATTTTCTTTCCTGAGCAAAGCAAATTCTAGAATCTGAAATCTCCTCTTAATTGCTGAATTGTACTTTTTCAAATCTCTGTTTTCTTCATTACTAACATGAAGACCCTAAGCTTATTCAAAACTTTTCTCTCCCTACAGGCTATTTTATAGAGCTACCATTTCTTAGGACAGACCTCCAAATGGAACAAAAGCACAGCCTTTCTCTGTTGCTGTTTCTTGTCAGTCCCAATAAAAGAAGAAGGACAAGATAGCCTCTCCAGCCGCAGGAAAGTCATAACCCCAGTTATCCTTTGGTAAAAGGTCTCTCACAGCTTGTTTTTAACCTATTCCTGGTCTATTCCATAACAGAAACCATTACATGGTTAAATAAAGACCTGAAAAATATTCTTCAAACCTATTTTAAAAATATGTAAACACTAGAAGATGCCATAATCAATGCATACTTTATATTTAAACATTAGAAGACAGTTACATTGGGTTCCCTAAAACCACATTTAATTCCCATAAAATATTTAGTTTGCAAAGCCTAATTAATACAGCATAAACAAAAATACATAAAATACATAAATATATAAAATACAACAAAACACTTCCCTGAAAAAGTACCCAGGTATTTAAACTCCAAAATTGTAGGAGGAATGCCAGACAAAACCACGATTTTCCTTAGGCCTAGACATATGGAAGTTGAGTAGTCCATAACACTTGGAAGTATATCCAGTTGTGTCCTTCACAAATATCACATCTAAATAGAATGTTGAATTGTATCCCTTTGATTTATACCAGTTTGTCTGAACAGATGCAGCAGACATATTTTGTTTTATTTTCCATGTATGGCCATGAACTCCATATTCAGTGATTTTACATGCAACTTTATTGCTGAAATCAGGAATATGCTTAGGTTTGGCTAATGCTCCCACAAGTTTTCTGTGATACATGTGTTTATTTTTAAAATATATAGATCAAACTGGTACTTGATTATAATTCTTGGAAGTTGACCCTGGTTACATTACCATTTATTTTTAGATTCTGTGACCTTTTGGAATAATATTTTATAAGTGCAGTAAGATCTTCTAGTGTGCGAATTAATGTTGTACTGATGGAACGGAGTTGATTGCACTCAGCCTTTAGCTTCATTCGCAGCAACACATTAGTTGTGAATTAGTGTGCAATAATTCATGCCCTGTTGCTTCTTAGGTCTAAATATAACATTTCCTCAGCTTTAGAAATACAACATAAAGGCACTAATATTTTCAAATAAGGAGGCCCCCCCCTTAGTATTTTCATTTCAAATATGTTGTTCTAGCTGCCATATGTTACAATAATAACAGTCTATTAAATAGTGACATAGACTTCAGCCTAGCTTCCATAGACATTAATTCTGTACAGATACTTTCTGAACTCAAGGTGTTGGGCTCCAGTGACATGAAAGGGGATCTAAGAGTCTCTGCATTGAAACAATCATATCTGTGATTACTCTACCTTTTGTTTTTGCTTTAATTATAATTCACAGCACACTTCATAAAAATAAAACAAAATTATTTTGAAAAATATTATTTTTCAGACAGAGTACATGATGGACAGGCAGGTAAGGTATCAGTCACAAGGAGTCTTTAGGCAAGTAAACTTAACATTTAGGTTCCTAGAATTCTCACATCATACTCCAAGTCTCCATCATTAAAGCCCCATAGAAAAACAAGCAAGGTAAGAAGACACTCAGAAAGAATTTTCTTACAAGTCTGTCTAAAATTGAGGAGAAAGCTGAAATTTCTCACATAATTGCCAAACTAACTTCTCTCCTAATGAAGATTACATCACTCGCATGGAATTAATTAGAACTGGAAACACAGAATTCTGCAGAGTGGAGTGGGACCCTAAAGGTCTCTATCGAATATAGGTCTGGCACACAGGCAGTCTTTAGTACTGTGGAAAATTAAATCCTGATGTCTCAGAGACTGTCTGATGCCCTGCCCATTGGACTGTTGGGTGTGGCTTTTTCAGTAGACTACATGCAATGTTGAGATTAAAAAATTTAGGAAAATAGGTGCAGCTACAGAATGTGTGTAGACAATGAAGAAAAGTCAGGAAATAAAAACTGAGGCAAGCATTTGGAAACAGGGTTCGAGATCAAACCTTGCAGTAATACAAGTGGAATGAATTATCTAATTTGGTTTCTAAAGCTATCTAGCAAGTAGGCTTAACAGACAAGAGGAGCTCATATGGTAAGCAGTACAGTACTGATGACTCAGTGGAATAATTTCCTAAAATTTCTTATGCTTAGCAGGTCAGTATGCAGTCCTTTCAGGAATGTTCTAAAATGAAAAGTAATATTAGACCATTCTATTTCTAGGACTTGTTCAGTTCCAGTTCTAAGAATGTTCTTGCATGTAACCTGAGCAACAGAACAGAGGAAACAGACTGACCTGCCCTTACAGAACAAGCTATGTAGGTACTTAATCCAAAATCCTGTGATACCTCTTTGCAATGTTGATTGTATGAATTTTTTCTTTCACATTTCATAGCTATGTGGTCTGAATACCTGTCACAATTCATTTTTCCTGCAGATTACTCTCCTATAAGATGAGCAAAACTGATTCAATAGCAAAATTTTATCTCTGCTGTAGAAGTAGAAGTAAGTGTTGTGGATTGGACTGCAAGTATGAGAGCCATAGCCATAACATGCATGAAACCACAAGAAAGTGGAAGTAGTTAACATATAGGTGCTTGTTTCAGCTAATCAGTGTAGGGAATAAAGAGCAAATAGGGTACCGTAGTCTGCACTGTAGATTTCCAGAGTTCTTTTCTGAAGCTAGATCCTGCTGAGGGGCTTTCCCTGGTGTACCTGATATTCACTACTGTTACCCACCCTAGCTAGCCTAAAATGAAAGTAGTTGGCTCAATCCATGCTACCTTACAGGTGCATGTTTTTCTGTAGTAACTCATGTATGGCCCAAACTCTGTCCAAAGCAAGGTTTAATGCTTCACTAATGTGACTGATCACAGTAAGTATTGCAACAAATTTCACTTTATTTGATGGTATAGAGACAAGTGATGGTGATGTCAATTTAATTGATGGCATAGAAAGAAGAACATTTGCTAGAATTGTAAAGCTCTGCATTTCTCTTCTCATCCCTGCTCTTCTTTATTTTCTTCCTCTCCTTTCTCTTCTTTCTTTTCCTTTACCCTTCCTTTTCTCTCTTTCACTTCCCCTTCCCATTCCCTTCCCATTTCAGTTTTTCCCTTAGGGGTATTACCCAAAGCAGAATCAGAATTATGAAACTTGCTTTATTTCTGTAAATATCTGCTTCATTGTCTCCTATCATACCTTAAAGTGTAATTAATTGAGCTTTAAAGGATAAAAAGAGTTACTGCAAATATGTCACAGAGAAAGATGTATTACAGAAGTAAATCTACTAATAAATTAAGTTGGGCTTGAAAGTTTCTGGGCCCTTAAGTGTTCTACTAAATTTGTTTACAAGATCAGTGTCACCAAAAAGAGTCAACAAGTCATTAAGATGCTGGAAAAATGCAAGAGATAGAAAAACTGGGCTGTCTAGGAAAATTGAGAGATCTGAAGCAGCTAAGTGAATTCAGTTAGTCAGTTATTTTTCACAAATTCTGAAGGCTTCATGATCTACATACTTTCAGAGAAGAGACTGGATTTCACAAACCAGAGCTGTTACCAAAGAATTGTCTTCCAAATGCATGGAAAAGAATATAACTTTTGGTCTCTGTTAACCCCTCTTGCTAATCTCTGCTTTAGAGTGGGTTTGCTGGAAACACAGTAATCCTGGCAGTAATTGCCAGAAATAATCTAATATTATGCAATTTTATAATAAAAATCAAGTATTAAATTATTTCAACTGCTAATTGAATTATAAGGAATATAAAAAATTCATTTTCTCAAAGCAAATTATTTCCAACTTGACTGCTTTTTTTAGCCAAATAATGAAACTAACAGATAAAGATATTTCAGTTGAATCTCTATGTTTTTACTGTCATTAAGCAATTTATTAAATACAAAATTCTGCATGAAACCTTATTAGGTATGTAATGATCCTTGTTAGACAGAGTTCTGCAGCCAAAACACAGGAAATTAAAAAGGGTTTAAGTATTAAATTACCTAGTGATACTCCCAAATGAAGGATTTGCAGTATGTCATTATATATACAGATGGCATTATGACTCCCAAGAGCATAGAAATGCTATAAATATAATAGGAAACAAAAAAAAAAAAGTATCTATAAAACAATTTATTGCTCTGGAGGGATTATTTTTAAAAATATTGAATTTAAAGATCAAATGGTTTTAACAGAATGTCTAGTATGAATTTTCAGTTAATACTATTTTACCTCGTACATGCAGAACCTAGGAGGCAATAGCACTAATTAAGGAGCTAAAATCAGTAATAACACTAGGCAGATTATAGAGTACATTCTGTGCAGGTATCAATTCTATATTTAGAGCAGAGTTAGTTGGGTGATGGGCTAATAAGAAAGGAAAGACTAGATAAGAGGAATGTGCCTATTTAACTAGTTTCCATAATGGCAGATAACTGATGGGTATTTATCTAAATGGTTTTTCCCATCTAACTCATACTATTCAGAACTCATTTCCATAATTCATGGAAATACTTTTGACATGGGAACTGAGAAACTGAGTACTGTTTTTGTCATTGGACACTATTCCAAGGACACAACCTTCATTGCCTTCTACAACAGAAATAGATCTGCCCAATTGTTTTCAGGCCAGTTGCATGGCCCAAAAGTAGTGCCTCGCTTTTCTCCGTTTTGCACTATCTGGTGGTAGGGCTTCAAGATGTAGTAGAACAGTGAGTGGTGGGGTAAGAAAGCAATGTAATAAGAATGCCTGTTTTCAGACTGATTTGGGGACTCAAAAACATATCATTAAAATTACGCTCAAACTTTGAAGAATGACATGGGATTGGCTATTATACAGCACACAAATGGAAAAAAGGAGGATGGAGATTACAGAAGTAATTCTGTAGAAATACTCATGCTTTATTAACCTTTAATTTTTAAAATCTGTTCAACATTCTAGCAACTTCAGATTCAGAGTTTTTGCATTAGAACTTTGTCTTGACCTTGATTTAGAAATGTACATCTTCTAAGGAGGTAGCCATACTAATATATCTTAATGAGTTTCCTTTACCACTGTTCAGAAGGCTCTTTAACATAGTTTTTGGTTGGCTCCTAGAGTATCTGCTGCTGCTCTGTTTATTACTTTGCAAGTAGTAGTCCCAGAGAGAGTTACCATCAGGATCAGCATTATTCAAAAAATATGCGGACATCCATACAGATTAGTAGGTAGTGTTATCCTCTGTTAGGTGTGGGGAAACAAAGAAAGTTGTGATCTCCCTGAGATAATTGAAGGAGCCTGTATTCTGTACTGAGATGCAATTTCATGCTCTAAGGCCTATATTCAGACCATAATGCCACTTTTTTTTACATCTTTCTCTTTAACCTATTAAACTGAGATACTTCTTGTGGTAATTGATAGTAAACTGACACATTCAAATATCACTTTCTATGTGTAAATTATTACTCAGTGTTTTGTGGTAATAATGACAACATTAATATTTTAAAATAAACAATTTTTTTGTTTGTTAAATAAAGGCTTATCCTAAAAATGGCAGCTTTTAAAATTTATCAAATTCCATTAATGAATCAAATATCAAATTCCATTCCTTAAGCACAAAATATGAAAGCTATTACATCCCACATTGTTGAAGCTACTGCTCCAAACCAATTTCAACAAATCTTTTCTACGGGCTCTCATTCCACAAAATATTTTGTTCTGTCTCACTACATTGCTCATCACTGACAATTTCTTGCCTCATTCTAGCATGCATTGTGGCAGCTGAGGAATATTTAAGGCTGAAATATAGCCTGTAGCTTAATGTTGAAGTGGAAATATCTATTTCTGTGTAATAGATTTTTTTTTTAAATTTAAATTAGCTTTATTTTAACTCCTATCTGTACTGTGTCTGCTTGGGATAGAGTTAGCTTTCTTCGGAGCAGCTCTTTTTGTGCTGCTTTTTGGATTTGTGGATGAAACAGTGCTCATAACATGTTGATGTTCTGGCTGAACAGTGCAGCATTCTGCTTGTCTATGGATGGGAATGGGCAAGGAGCTGGAAGGAGACATGTCAGGGACAGCTGACCCAGATTGGCCAAAGGAATATATTTCTTACAATACAACTTCACACTCAGCAATAAAAACTGAGGTAGAAAAAGAAAGAGACACATTTTGTCTTCCAAGGAGGCTGTTGCTCTGACACCAACTGGATATTAGTCTGGCTGGTGTTGAGTTCTCAGACTTTCCCATGTATTAATTAATTAACCAATTGCAAACTTGAAGGCACAGCAGGAAGATTTTGTGGATTTATAAAAATAAAAACTTGCTTCTCTCTGATGCATAATTTCAGTTTTCCTCCCAACACTAAGGAGGATGTTCTTTAAATATGAAATTTGGTTAGTATACTTAAGATCTACTTCATGTGCAGCGAGTTCCAATTCACAAGGCTATATTTAGCTGAAAAATAAGAGTTCTGTATGGAGAAAAGAAAGCAAAGTTGGTCAGTAGCACTGTTAACCCCTAATTTCATAAAAATAATAAATAGCTCTAGGGAAATATAGGGGAAAATCAGGGAAATAAAGGTAAAGAGGCAAATATAGGGAAAAATTAGTAAGTCACTCAAACAAAGCTAGTTGTACGCATATCCATGGTAATTACATGCCTAATTTGAGACTTTATATCTTGAACCCCTCAGGAGTAGTTTCAAGATGGAAAGGCTATCTGAGATGTCAGACTGGCAGAGAATAAAGTAAAAAGAAATTAATACAGGAGACTACAAAGTACATTAAACACTCACTTTTGAGAACTAAATAGATCTGAATAGGCTTAAAGAGCACATATAAGCATTTAAAAATCAATATTCCACACCATTTATTATGATGCCAATTTACTAATGTATAGACTAGAAAATGTTTATTTCTAAACCTACCCTTTCTACCCTTGAACTTTTCTTAACATGCATAAATTTTTCATACTCAATGTCTAATGAAGATTGGGAGAGGGAAAGAAGGTCAAGCAGGATTAGGCCCCCCATATTGCAGTGGTTCTTCTTTTTTTCTCATCCTAAGATCATACAGTTGGCTAGGGCTAAGACAGTATCAAGAGACTGCCAGAGAAAGAAAGCTACCAGAATCACTGACCAATGTTCAAAGTACTGGTGAGACAAAAAATTAGGTCTAGCAATGTCAGGGTCCTGTATGCACCAAAAAACTGCAATCACTTACTCTTGCCCTGTGCCCATCTCAGAGATTTAATTGCCTGTATTCAACATCATCTTTAATGCAATGCAGCTGTATGGACTTGGATCAACCTGCTGGGAAAAATGCAATATGAGAAAGAGTTGTGAG